ACGTATACGTCTGTATTTATACACAACTGCTCAGGTGTCTTTTGACATGACAACATACTTGACTTCGCTTTTGTTTTGGATCCACTCGTAAGAATGGATGGAACTTTTCGTTACATCTTGTATTATTATTGTCACTTCCCTGATTAATAAATACAGGCTTGTAACGAAGTTGGCATCAAACGACGGACGTCTATAAGCCATTCCTTATGACCGTGGAAAGAGTTTTTCTCGGTTCCGTTTCTTACCCTGAACATTTATAGCTCGCATTTCCACTTTCTGCACTGGATTTGCGCCCTGTAGTTAATGAAAGAAACCTCCAGGGATTTCTCGGGTATCCTTATAATGCCATGTTATTCTACAAGGCGCGCATAGATTCAAATATATACAATCAAGCATTCACCCTAACCGATGAGTTACTTCCATTGGCTACCTTATGACATTTGCTTTGACAGATTTGGTAACAATATGGGCTCATATTTACAATATTCCCATATTCTCCTGTCGACTCTCCATTTTCCTGTGTAGAATGTCACATCCGTGGATAATGAAGACTTAGATGTCATCAGTAGGGATGAATGGGGATCTGTCTATATTCGTGATTAATGTCTATAATTTCAAGTTACTTGGGCAAGTGTTCTGTGATTTGATATAATTTAAATGACGTCCAGACGTCACGTGAGCGAAAATTATACACTTATTTATACATTCGTAGTCTTGTAATTTCATCCTTCTTTTACCTTAAGAAGGCATTACGATGCAAATGTATGTGAGTTTCGTTTTACTCCGCCTTTAGCAATATTCAAGCAATATCATAGCAGGGGACACCAGAAATGGGCTTCAAACATTGTACCCATGTGGGGAATCGAATCCCGGCGTGACGAGCGAACGTTTGAACCACTAGGCTACCCCACCACTCCTCAAATGACTGCGATACATCATGATGCAGAACAATATTTATCAAAATCGTGTGTCATAATACCACACTAAGCTATTCATATGAAGCAGAACAGAACCAGAGAGAGACGCATAAATATGACTTTGTACCTGACGAATAAATTTTGAGGTCACTGGAATGTGTTGACCTCCTTGAATGTTTACTTGTTTTCAAGTCTTTAATAAATTGCTGGTCAACTCAACGTGAGGACAGGAGCTGACCTCAGAACCCACATTCAGAAGATTATTTCAGATCTATGTTTTAAGTCCGTGTCCTCTTCTTTGTAACTATGTGGACGGTTCTCAACCTGGACCAGCTCAAGGCCGATGTCAAACACCTTTAATTCATCTGCCTTGAAACATGAAAAGGTATATTCTCCTTTTCAGTCCTGACATGTTTTTGGGGGGCTCGACAGGTGCAACATTCCTTAGCTGAAACGTTTCAAGGTAATAGAGGGTTGATCAGTGTACTTAGGGGAGGAGTTATTGAGCAAGGGCAGTTTATACGCTGAAAGGCAGGTAAAAACTAAATGCCATATAAAGGGAACACTTCGGGCTGTATATTAATATAAATGTAGAATAAAGAGAATAAGAGCTGAAAGCTCTCATTAAAGTCAAAGGCACATATAGTATGCTGTGTCAGTCTTGTATATCTTGGCATGGTATTGTTGTTTGGACGAAAAGAATCATGTCAGACAAAAGATTTCACCATTCCTGCATGTTCTTCAGTCGCGTATATTTACCAACTCTAATTGGTGTGCGTGGGTTGAGTAACTGGGCTCTTCATCACAGGACGTTATTGTGCACTATGCACGCATTATTTGTCATGTGATTATCATGTGAAGCATGTCAAGGTTCGGGATGAAAGCAAAATATTCCCCAGTTTTCGTAAACGAGTCAAGGATGCCGGACGTAATCTCAAAGTCAATGTTGACTTTGTTGATGGTTCTTTACAACTGGACGGTATAGAAATTACTGTCAAGTAAGCACAGTGCCATATCAAATCGGCACATTACTCGGTTTTGTAAGCGACGGTTCTCTGACCGACCACTGCATCGTGTTTATGTGCAGAGCTTTAAGAAGTAGAGCAACGCTGCGTAGTTCTTCCATTGGATGACTTAATTCGGCCTGAAAAATGACACAGAACGGTTTCTGTTTTCTGCTCTGGGCCAGTCACTTCCAACTTGATACCGGTAACGTGTGCGTTGGCATCAATATGTATATTTGAACTTTAGATTGTGCAATGACTTTAATGGGAATGTCAAACAACTTGTCAGTGGATGCCAATCCCAGTAGATGACACACTTATAAAACCTTATTGGGCATAAATTCGTGTCTCTAACTTTTTATTTAGGTTTTGACAGATGGTCCATTCAGGGTTCCAGAATATGTAGAGGACATCATGGGAAATGATGACTGAAAACATTACTTGCATTAGGACCGAATACATCTTCAACCTATCCAAACCAACACACCCGATATTTGATAAAACTACTTTTATATATCATTCCATCATTGATTTGGATGTGCTGTAACACATCCGTTCTGAATCTCTGAGGGAAGCAAAAGGATGCAGTATTGGGAAATCTACACATTCTCCGAAATGTTGGTGGCGGGTTCGACCAGCCAGTGCTCCCCAGTCGAAGTCGCATTCTCTATCTTCGCTGCGGGTAGAGGGGCTAAGGGCCCTGAGATGATAATGAACACAACAAGCCCTACCAGGAACACCCGAACCCTCCTTGCTGCATTTCTAAATTCGCCGTCGTCAGCGTCCTGACAGAATCAAGACAGGAAGAATTTTTTAAAAGCTTCATTTCGGTGTTTTGCTTTTCTCATTAAGCTCTTGAATCTTCATTTCTGACATTTTTATTTGCAATATAATTATCAAATAATATCCAAATGATGTTTCTCAGGTATTACGACAAGAGGCGTTTCGTATTCTGCCAGACAGGTTTCCAGCGGTAAAATGTCACTGATATCCCCGCAGAGATAATCAGATTATCTTCTCTTCTGTTTTGAATTACGGCATATGTAGCAATATTCTAGGTGTGTGCAATAATGTACAAAGGTGCCGGGCAAGAGAAAGTGTACAAGTTTGCTAATAGCTAATGGGACAAGAAATGATGATTAAGATGCATATGGGATGTATGGGATACTGGTGTTACAGGTGTGATTTGAAGTAAACAACGTACTGGCAACAGTATTCAGCGCTAGCTCAGCAAAGTTTTGTAAACATTTGTAATATTTCGGGCCAGTTTTCAAGAATATCCTCTCTTTTACTTTTATGTTGCTGTTGGACTGTGATACATGCACGGGCCACTCGACATTCATTGAGATTTTGGTACTCCTTTTATCTATGAAAGTGAGTGAGTGGGACGTAATTGTGTGGAGTGAATGAGTTGACATCTAACATTGCATGGGCTGTATATCTGCCCTAATATGTTATCCATTGTAGGTTTAATTGGGCTTAAGTAATATCCCGTGTGATGCACGTTTAGTTTCTTGACTGTAAAGTACTCGTATACAGAAACATGTCAAGTTTAAGGTGAGCAACAAAATGAGGTAGCCCCCGGGAAATATTTGAGTTATATCACGTTGTGTCATCTGTATGTGTGGGGATAGCCTGAAGTGATGCAGGATTACCACTCTTGTCAAAAAATACTAGCATGGTTATGTTGCTGACAAACTTTCAAAATATTCCCAGAAAGAACCAGGATTCGAATGTTTCGGCAAGGTTAAGCTCTGCTCAGAGCTCTGTTAGATGATTAAACGATTGGGCGATCCTTGCCCTTCAACTGTTAATGTGTTACAGTAAGGCATCTCTGATAAATATAACTTGTAGATCATGAGTCATCCAACGTTGTCTCGAGTGTAAGCTAATATCACCAAACGTGATAGGATTTAACGCCTAGCGACAGCAAATTGGAACCTACAAATCTCTGTTATTTCTACCTTTACAACACATGACCTGATACAATGCTGTACTTTTCAGACTTTTTGAGGTTTGATTCCTTTCATGTGTTCAAAGCAGCTGTTTATGACAAACAAATTTATCCTTTGATAAGTCAATATCGCTATCTGAAGCAGTTAGTCTGTGGGGGCGGTGGGGTAGCCTAGTGGTTAAAGCGTTCGCTCGTCACGCCGAAAACACGGGTTCGAATCCCCATATGGGTACAATGTGTGAAGCCCATTTCTGGTGTCCCCCGCCGTGATGTTGCTGGAATATTGCTAAAAGCGGCGTAAAACCAAACTCAAGCAGTCAGTCAGTTAGTCTGTGTCATTGTTTTCGGGTAATGAGTTAGAAACAATGTACTTGTTTTGTATGACGTGTAATTTGCCAGAGATTTAAATAAACATCAGACGAACTGTATCGGAATCATGTGATGTCTGTGGGCAACTGAAAATTGAAATAAATTGATATAAATAAGGATTGAAATGATAGAAATCAGGTAATGTAATTTCAAAGCAAATTGTAAAAGTGATAGAACTGATAAAGATTCAAATGACGTTAATTCAGTTTGCAAATAATTATCAACCACATTATGTAAGTAACTTCATGAACGGACGACCCGCGACGGGAAAGGGTGAAATTATTGTCCTTGCAGTGACATTCGCGGCTCCGTTAACTAATCTAATATTTTGGTGAAACTAGCTCTACATGGTTTACCAGTGTAGTCTGTCGTTGATTATTACGTCTTCTATCCCGTGGTCTAGACGCGCCATCACTCACATGTGAATACCTTTATGTCCTTTTGTCCGCCAGTCCTATTGTCAGGATCATAGCGGGGCGGTGGGGTAGCCTAGTGGCTAAAGCGTTGGCTCGTCACGCCGAAGACCCGGGCTCGAATCCCCACATGGGTACATTGTGTGAAGCCCATTTCTGGTATCCCCCGCCGTGATGTTGCTGGAATATTGCTAAAAGCGGCGTAAAACCAAACTCAGTCAGTCAGTCAGGATCATAGCCTGTGTCGAGACAGTTTGTGACATAGTCCATTGTGATGACCTTATACTGTCTACTTGTGTTGTCATTAATGTTCATTTCATTATTCGTTTCTGTTCCTTTTCAGTTACAATCGTGTGTATACCGATGACAGCAGCGCAGAGGATTTACCAGCTGTGGATTTATGGTGATGTTCTCTGCAAGTGTGTCCAGTATTTACAGGGTAAAGTAACGTTATCTTCATTATACTCTGGTCCACTCGGCCTGTACGATATCGTTATACCAACGGATGCAACAGTGTGTGTGTGTGCGTGCGTGTGCGTTTGTGTGTCTTCGTACTTATGTGCGTGTGTATCTGTGTCTGAATACTACATCTCCTGTGCTAAAATCTCTACACTGGCTTCCTGTTCAATACCGGATAGACTTCAAAGTTCTGTGCATCGTCTATAAGTGTCTCAACCATCTTGCTCTTTCATATCTATCATCCCTGTTAACCCAGTATGTTCCATCCAGGACTCTTCGTTCTCAAGATCAGCATCTACTCTTAGTTCCCACGGCTCGCCTCTCTTCCCACGGAAAGAAAAATCTTCAACATGTTGCTCCACTCCTATGGAACTCTTTGCCGCTCCACATGAAACTTTCTGAAACAACTGATTCTTTCAAGAATTATTTTAAGACCCTTTTCCTCACTAAAGCCTTCCAGTGACTCTTCATTTTTCTTGTACATACGTTCTCAGCGCCATGAGCATGCATTCGTGGGTGGACACCGTCCCTTTATAAATATCCATATCATTATTATTTTAACCCTGCACGTTTACTCTGCAAAGTATCCTGATCCGCCCAAACCTTGTTTATGATCGAAATGGCGAACGTCAGGCTGGGTAACAAGTGCCACCCTATACGTTTCCACATACACGCGGTTCAGACTAACAGGATTTACATGTAAGGTGTTAGGATTGCACTTGCCTCATGTATTTACTACTATCGGAATCTCCCTTAACTGGACGATGATGTTCATGACGATGTTGACATAATGTACAAAAAAGACAAACGCGCGGCGGACACACACACACACACACACACACACACACGCGCACGCACGCACGCACGCACGCACGCGCGCACATACACAGAAAAAGAGGGTTACACCATTAAAGGCGGTAGTAAATCTTTCAACGGGTTAGTGACATCCTAACGTGTGTTGACCAAGGACAGTTTTCAGCTCCAGTTTTATTAGACTCACCCGCTGCTTTTGATACGGTTGAGCACAGGATGCCGGGAACACCCCTCAAACAGGTAGTGACAATCAGTGACACTACGTTTGCCTGGTAACACTTATAGATGACCACTGGTGGACCCCAAGGTGCAGTATTGGGACCAATCTTGTTCACACTATACACAAGATAACTTGGTCGTGTCGCTACAAGACATGGGATGATGACATTCAGTTATGTCAGTTGTGAGGGCTCAGAGGAGTAAAATGATGAAGTTGCGGAATGTTGCGCTGACATCACACACTGGCTGATGACATCACACACTGGCTGATGACATCACACACTGGCTGATGACATCACACACTGGCTGATGACATCACACACTGGCTGATGACATCACACACTGGCTGATGACATCACACATCGGATGATGACATCACACACTGGATGATGACATCACACATGCTTAAACTCAACCAATTATTTTGATCTGCCCTGAAAGAAGGATTCAGAACTGCACAGGCTGCAAACCTATAACCATTAGTGATTCAACAAATGTTGCATCTGACAAAGTGAAAATATATATTTGATCAGCAGCTGAGCATGATGCACCACGGGGTGTGCCAAACAGCCATTTACCATATTCGTAATATTAGAATGCTATGGCCATATCTAACAAAAGATTCTTGACTGAGACTGGCGCTATCTCTCGCCTTCTCTCGCACTGACTAATATAAAAGTCTACCTGCTAACGTAACAACAGAACAAATGAACACACTTCAAGAAGTTCAAAGTGCAGCTGCTTTGAATATATTTAGATGGTCCAAATTCACTCACACTTCACCACTTCTAAGGGAACTCCAGTGACTTCACGTGTGGTTTTCAAGATCCTCCTCATGGCCTACATATGTTACAGCCATGATATGTTACAGCCATGATATGTTACAGCTGAATGATACTGCATTCTGCACCTGAACAGAGAAACAGCTGTCCCAATGTGAACAACGTTCCATGCCGCCGTGGGAAACAACACAGATGGTCACACATTAAGCCCAGGCGGTTTACACTTACCATGAACACCTGGTGTCATCAATGCTTTTCAGAGATCATTCATATAATTTTCACAGATATTTTCCATTTTACTGCCAATGGAATCTTTAGATAGTCGAGATTGGTTATTCTCTGCGGTTTACGTGTAATAACTGGCACTTTGCATTATCTATATCTATAGTGTAGATGCTTCCTAGAATTAACCGTCATAAGAACAGATACATCTCTTAAGTAATAATCATATGTAATAACTCTCCTGTGTCAGACATGTGAGCAAATCGATAGACTGTGTATAATTGGGTGTCAGCCGAAAACATGATGGGAAACAACTGAATACTTCCATGTGTTACAATGTCTGGCTTGGCCATTTGTCATATACCGAAGCAATCACCGTTCTCTACGATTTAAGTGCAAACAAAAAGTTGAAATGTTGTGCCCTTTGTATATCCATAGCGAATTCAGGCGTCTTTGGTTGATAACATTTATGGTTAATTCAGTCATTGGTAAAAAGATATATATGACAGGTTATATACAGCATGGAAGGATTCACGAGTTCACGTCAAAATGCCAGTACTGTTTGACGCATAAAGAATCCTTCAGCAACATAATTGGCACAGTATTAAGGGGCGCAAGGGCCACTGAGATCACGGCAGTTAATGCTATAATTGTTCCGGGCAAAATCGACACTTACTCCAATGTATGAGGTCGCCAAGTATTTTATTAGTATTTCAAGTGAAACTCCCTTGCATTACTACTACTACAACTACTACGTCTAATACTACTACTGCTACTTATTACTACTAGTTGCTACTACAGTAACTACTACTACTACTACCACGTTTACTGCTATTACTACTACTGATGCTTATTACCTCTACTTGCTGACTAATAATACAGCTTACTTCTACTACTACCACACTTACTACTATTACTAATACATCTACTACCACTACTACTATTACAAATACATCTACCACCACCACCACCACCACTACTACTACTACTACTACTACTACTACTACTACTACTACTACTACTACTACTACTGCTGAAGCGACTTTCTACTACTACTGCTTCTACTACTACTATTAATCCTACCCCTGACTGCTGCTGCTGCATACTTCTACTAATATTGCTACTACTACACACTACTATTTATATTGCTTACTACTACTGCAGCTGCTTACTACTGCTACTACTACTGTTACGAACTACTACTACTACTACTACAACTACAACTACAACTACTACTACTACTACTACTACTACTACTACTACTAGTGTTACTAATGTTGCTGCTGCTCTTGCTACTTACGTATGCTACTGCTGCCGTCATGATAACTTAAGGCTGAAATCTTGCCGATGTCACTTACTCACTCACTCTACTACTACCATTATTACTACTACTGCTACAAATACGAATACATCTACTACTACTACTACATCTTCAACTACTACTACTACTACTACTACTACTACTACTACTGATAATAATTAAAATGCAACCCGTAAAGTTCGGGGTTAGAATTAATCTTCAGGAATCCATGCTTGTCGTAAGAGGCAACCAACTCGGTCGGGTAGTCAGACTCGCTGACTTGGTTGACACATGCCATCGCACCCCAACTGCGTAGATTGATGCCGATGATGTTGATCACTGGATTGTCTGGTCCTGACTCGATTATTTACAGACGGCCGCCATATAGCTGGAATATTGCTGAGTGCGGTGTTAAACAACAAATAAAACAACCAACCAGTTAACATTTAGGCGACCCATATCAGTGGGTGAACAGCGGCTCAATTCGGGAAGGGCCTGACTGATTATGACCATAAGACGCCGAGCGTTTCATGAAGTATGACTTAGTGTCCCTTGAAGCCCTGCTTAACCCCGCCAGATAGATGACCTTAGAGACACGCAAATGTCCGCGTGGCACCACAAATTTCTCAAGTTCGTTTCATCATAGCGACGAAAAAAACGTATCAAGACAGATCTGATCTGGCCATGAATTTTATTTGGTTAAACGATGTGAACATCAATCAGATATCATCAACTCATTTGAATTTATCAGAAGTAATAATCCTGGCAGAGAAAATCCTTTGGAGCCCAGAATAGTTGGCATTTACGTAGGTCGGCATGGCGAGTGCAGTCTCTTATCGCGAAAACGGTATTGCATAAAGTCCGTGGAACTAGATCCCTCAACATCTGGAGTGACCACTACAGCCAGCTTAAAAGATGACAACAGGAAGAGACCATCTGTCGTGATTGACAGGGCGACCGGCAAGAATCCCTCTTTATGATGCAGGCTTATTTCTGGTGACCTTCCCCTTCATGAACTGTTATGGAAGTCATTAGTTCTTAAATCCTGGTTTTGCCAGTGTAGCGGGAGTGTAAGGACTATCACCTGGCTTTTACTGACACATAGGAAGGCACACCAAGACACAAAGTGCGCATTTAAGAATACACAATAAGCAATACATCCCTCATCTATGAGAAACATCGGCTGAGTCTCCTGTAGAGTTCCCACTGATATACAAGCATGTGTTTATCATGCACTATCAGCGAGTCACAATACCAGGTATTCGCTTGGTCGAGGCAAACCTAATTGTACGATATTTCTGTTGGTCGTATCTATACATACAATACAGGTGAGCTGAGGTGATATGGGGTTTAACGTCGTGCTTGAGAATATTTCGCTCATATGACGACGTGCATGCGTGTGTATGTGTATGTGCGGCTGCTTGTACTAGCCCAGACTTAAGCTGCTTTTATAGTGCTAGCCCACTGAGATACCATGCCGCAGTGAAGCATGAATACCCCACTCAGACACATTATACTGACTCCGAACCGACCAGTCCTTGTTGTACCCACGCCCATTAATGCCGAGCGCCAGGCAGGGACCAACAAGTACCCTATTTTAACGTCTTTTGGTATGACGCGGTCGGGGATCGAACCCGCGACCTT